CCGCACAGTTCCAGCTGTTGCAGCCATCTGGGGAGAGAACCAGCGGATGGAAGACCTCTCTCTCTCTCTCTCTCTCGCTCTCGCTCTCTCTCTCTCTCTCTCTGCCTCTCCTTCTCTCTCTGTGTAACTCTGACTCTCAAATAAATAAATAAAACTTTTTTAAAAAAACAAGCAAACAGAACTGTTCTTTTTAAAAAAATAGTTTTAGTTTGAAGGCCCTTCCTAATCTGGCTACAGCTTATTTTTCATCATTACTACTTTCATCTCCAGCTATACCTCAACTCAAAGTGGACCTCGATTAGAACCAACTTTTCAAAAAAATAAAAATAAAAATATATACCTGGTTTCATTTGGACTTCTGCAGGCACTCTTCCCTATGTCTAGACTACTCTTCTTCTCCTTACTATAGTCTCCCAGCTACCAGCTGCTGGTTCTCGGGCCTCAGTTTCCCTGGTGTGTCTCCCCAGATCCCCAACAAGACTATCAGGGCTTCTGTGCCGCCTCCTGTGCACCCTGGACTTGCTACTGTAGCAGTGCTATCACATTGCATTATCGTGGCCTGTTTGTTGGTCTTTATCCCTCACTAACCTGGAAGCTCCCTGTGAGTAAGGAGTTTACCTTTTTCTTCATCTTAGAAGAGTTCCTGGTATCCTGGAGGTCCTCAACAAATATCTGATAAGTGGATAAAGCCTCTAGCATTTAGGAGGCCATCACTCTTTTAGATTAAAGTTATAGCACAATAGTCTAAAATTCTGTTCTCCCCAAAGGAAATCATTCCCAAGCTATCTTGGACATGCACAATCTGATTTTAAAAATAAAACATTTGTAGTTCCTTCCTAATTCTGTTTTGCCCAGGCTAATAATAAAATGATTTGGCATTCCTTGGGTATATATCAACTGACAGTAGAGGGAGCCAAGCCAAGAATGTGTTGGTGGTGGGTAAGAATCTGCATGTGATTAAAAATAGGACATGTGTAATAATGAAGAATTTAAAATTATTCAAATTACCAACAATTGGAAATTAGTTAAATAAATTCTGTTGTTAGATAGACAGATGCATTGACATTAAATATGTAAACATAAAAGGTCTATTCAAAGTAATCCTAAAAATAAAACTAGAACACACACAAGAATAGAAATATAAAGTATAAGCATGCAACACTGTGTTATGTACAATAATGACCAGACACCTTCATGCCATCAAATCATGCTAATAGTGGGGGTTTTATAGTGAAAATTTAAATGTTGTATTTTCTCAAAGTTTTTTAGTCTTTGCTATAAAAATCTAGAACAATTAAACGCCATGTATTGTTTCCAAAGTGTGTATCATAAGTTGACCATAGTGAGCTTTTCTATCTAAGGTACCTAAAAGGCACTGTTTATAATTTGTTGGATGTATATGAGGCCTTATATCCTTTAATTTAAAACTGCAGATTCATATGTAGAAATGTATACATACTTAAGCAGATATGTGTATTAGTAAGATTTCCACTACTAAACAAAATACTTTATAAAGGAAAGAGATCTACGGGTAGGTGTTTTGGCACAGTGATTAAGACACCATTTGAGGGTTCAGAGCTGTGGCATAGTAAGTTAAGCCTCTGCCTGCAGTGCTGGCATCCCCATCTGGGCACTGGTTTAAGTCCAAGCTGCTCCACTTCCAATCCAGCTCCCTGCTAATGCACATGGCAAGGTAGCAGAAGATGGCCCAAGTCCTTCGGCCCCTGCATCCACGTGGAAGAACTGTAAGAAGCTCCTGGCTCTTGGCTTCAGCCTGACCCAACCCTGGCTGTTGCGGTCATTTGGGGAATGAACAATGAATCAGTGTATCACAGTGTATCACTGCCTTTCAAATAAATAAATTAACTTAAAAAAATAAAAACAGTGGCACAGTCAAGACTCAAACTGGTGCCCATATGGGATGCTGGCACTGCAGATGGATGTTTAAACTTCGCCATAGCGCCAGCCCCTTCACTTTTTCTTTTAAGATTTATTTTATTTATTTGAAAGACAGAATTACAGAGAGAGGCAGAGACAGAGAGGTCTTCCATCCACTGGTTCATTCCCCAAATGGCTGCAATGGCTGGACCTGAGCCAATTTGAAGCCAGGAGCCAGGAGCTTCTTCCGGGTCTCCCACATAGGTGCAGGGGCCCAAGGACTTGGACCATCTTCCACTGCTTTCCCAGGCCATAGCAGAGAGCTGGATCAGAAGAGGAGCAGCTGGAACTAGAACCAGCGCCCATATGGGATGCTAGCGCTTCAGGCCAGTGCTTCAACCCACTGCACCACAGCGCCGGCCCTGCCCCTTCGCTTTGTTATTGCACTTTGCCTCCAGTACTTCCGAGAGTCAGACAGAACAGGAAGTATGGTATTGACTTCTCTCCCCCTTTTACCAATTAGACCTTATATCCAGCTGCAACTGAGATTTATTATGTGACTTTTTCAAGGGTACCTAATTAGCAAAGGTCACAACCAGGACCAGAACCCAGGTGTCTTGACACTGACATGGCCTCCTAATTCTGTCCAGAAACCTAAGCAGAAAGGGATCACATTACTTAGGATCTGCAAAATTCTTTGCTGATGCACCTTGCATAATACCTGGTATTGCACAGTACCTAGGAGATGCTCAAGTAGCATTTGTACAAAGAATTCATGGATGGATGAGTTGATGGGCCGATCAATGGACAGGAATTTAACAGTTCACTGTTAACCAGGCAAAATTCTTTGGTGCACTCTTCTCCAGACTCTCATTGCTACTTTAAATTTTTCCTCTAGGTTCCACCATTGTGGAGCAGCAGGTAAAGCTATTGCCTGCAATGTCAGTATCCTATATGAGCAGTGCTGACTGATCTACTTCCCATCCAGCTCTCTGCTACCTCAATGCACCTGGGAAAGCAGTGAAGGATGGCTCAAGTACTTGGGCCCCTGCCACCCACTTTGAGGGGAGTCAGATGGAGTTCCTGGCTCCTGGCTTCAGCCTGGCCTAACTCTAGTCATTGTGGCCATTTGGGGAGTGAACCAGCAGATGGAAGATATCTGTCTACGTCTTACCTTCTCTCTCTGTAACTCTGCCTTTCAAATGAGTAAATAAATCCTTTTAAACATGAAGATAAAAAATACATTTTTCTTCTACAAATATTCCATTCATTCATTTGTTCATTCAGCAAGTAGATATTAGACACTGACTAAGGTATGAAGCGATGTTTGGAGCTTAAGGAGTTATAGAACTGAAATATTATTCTTACCTTCAGTATACCTACAATCTAATAGGAGAATAAGATTTTTACTTAACAAAAACTATAATACCTTATAGAATATGAGATGCATAGAGGTATAAACAAAGTGTTCAGGGGAACAGAGAAATGATGTTTAATTGAAATAATACAGGCAAATTTCATGGAAATGTGGCATTTCAGTAGGGTCGTGAGTGACAGGTACAATTTCAGGAGACAATGGGGGAGGACATTTCAGAGAAAAGCAAAGAGTTATAGCCAAGGCACGAGATCAAAAACTTTGCAAAAGTGAGGATGCAAGAAACACTCTGTCTCCTTGGAGAAATACATTTCAGCTAGAATGTGTTATATTCTTGTCGCTTTTTCTAATGTGAAATAGAAGGTGCTTCAGTCATCTCATCTGACTGCTGCAGGTGCTAGAAGTAGAATCCCAGATCTGTAGGAATATGCTACAAGGTTTTGTTAATTTCTTCCCTGTGATGAACAAGGTAGAAAGTATTTTTAGCTGTGTTTTACAGCAGAGTGTGAAACAAAGGTGCAGAGAGTTGGGAACTTTCTCAAGGTCACAACGTGAGCCAGCTGGAAAGAAACCCTAGAACCATGGCTGCAGCTCTCCAAGGGAGGCTGTGTGGGCATAGCTTTGCAAGGGGACAGTGTGTTCCAACCTAGTACTCTGCACATCCAATAGTGCCTTCTGCCTGTGAGTGGGACTCACTGTGAAGACATCATTGAAGGCTTCTCAGTCTCTCTCAGGTTGAAGCAGTCTTTTCTCAGACAGAATACAGTCCACAGGGTGTCCTAAGGTGTTCAGCTGACAGCAAGTAATCTGGCATGAGAGTCAAGGTGGCAACTAACCCAAGAGCAATGTTCTATTTGGCTCTTGTGTTGGGATTGAAAGCTCATTAGAGAGGTTGAAACCAGGGCCAGGCATTCTGAAACCTGAGCTCTGAACCAAGCTCTGCCACTTGCCTACAGTTTGAGTTTGGACATTTGCTTGATCTCTCAATATCCACATCTGTAAAATGGATACACATCTATATCTACAAATGTTTAAATGCTAAGAAGATTTGTGAAAGTACCTATAAAAACATTAAAACTAGTGGCTTTGGGGGAGTAAAGTGGAACTGGCTGGCTTCTATTTGTTCTTAATGTACTTTTTTGGTTGGAATTACCTATAAGGACCTGGACAAGCAAAGGCAAGACAATAGTATTAGCCATCTCATAAACTGCCACATGAGAAGTAGCTCTACAATGATTTGGCAAATACTACTTTCTTAATAAAAGTTAGTTTTACATATAAAAAAAATTTTTAGGAGGCCAGCACTCTGGTACAGTGGATTAAGCCACTGCTTGCAATACCAGCATCGCATATTAGAGCACCTGTTAAGTCCCAGCTGCTTTGCTTACAATCCAGCTCCTTGCAAACTTGCCTGAAAAAGCAGCAGATCATGGCCCCAAGTACTTGGGCCCATGTCACCCACATGGCAGACCCAGATGGGAGTTCAGGGCTCTTGGCATCAGCCTGGTCTAGTCCTGGCCACCACAGCCAATTGGGGATTGAACCAGCAGATGAAAGATTTCTTTGTCCATATGTTTCTCCCACCTTCTCTCTCATTCTACCTTTCAAATAAATAAAATAAATATTTTCCAAAAAACATCCAATAATTTAGAAGATGGGGATGGAATTTAAAATCACACTCAGTTGAGTAAGTCACTTCCCTTATCAGACTTCAGTTTCTTGGTCTATGAACATCACCAAAGGAAAGCAACATATGGAATGTATCATGAATTTGTGTGTCATCCTTGTTCAGGGGCCATGTTAATTCCTTCTGCATAACTCCAATTTGAGTATATATGCTGCTGAAGTGAGCACTATATTTAAAAATTAATCATTGTGTCCTGTGGCCAAAAAAAGGAGGGGAGACAAGGCAGGAAATCAAGGAACCATAAGAGAAGAAGATAAACTTTCTAATCAAGACCTCCATTCCTTGGAGGTGATGACTGGAGCAGAAAGAGTGTCCACAGACCTGATTTTGAATCCCACACCACCACGTACTCACCATGTGACACCAGAGGAGTCAATTAGCATCTCTGGACCTCAGTTCCTTATTTGCAAATGAAGATTAAAAAGGTCTCACTTCATAGATTTGCTATGAGGATTAAATGAGAAAAATATATGAGGTGCTGAATCTTACTTATTAGTGTGGGCCACAGAAATAAAAACAGACACCGCATACACCCACGATGCTGCTATTTCACCTGCTTCCTACAGGTAGATTGCTCCTACAAGTGTCTACAAGCCCATATGGCAGCAGGGGGCTCTCCTAAACTGTTAAAGCCATAAATTATTTTCTTTAGAATATTTAACAGAAATCAAAGAGAGCCAAGAAAGCACACTGACAACCAACCAAAGTGGATCCACTTTTAGATCTTCCTGAGCAAGACAAGCCTTTATTCAAGCCCACGTAGTTGTGGTCAAGGGTTAGCCTCTGTGCTCTCCTGCACTTTGCAGACATGTGCTTACTCTGCTGCAGCTTTTGGTAGCAGATGTGTTTAAAGAGCCATAAACTCAGTCACAATAAATGGGAACATGCTTGCTTCCCTCCAGCCTTCCTTGTTCTCATTAAAGGAAGCTTCCTTTTACAGGCTCCTGCCTGCATGCTGTTTGGAGTGCCTCACTCATGGATTTCAGTAGAAAGCTCTGCGTGGGAATGACCCTTATCCACTTTGAATCAAAGCAGTTGGCGACACCCTTTCCACCACTGTCAGGGCCTTTCTGAATCTGTCTCTTCTCTGTGACACAAAGCAGCCTCATTGTCATGTTGATACATATAACATCACGACTTACTGTGATATTTAAACATGGTGCTATACGTGGCCAGGATTTTACAAAATGGGGATGGTGAAACATCTGGAAGAAAATGAACAAAGGGAAATGAGATCTCAAACAACAAAACTGCATCATCAATTTTCTTGCCTAAGGAGAGCATTCATGAAAATATCCCCAAAACTCAGAGGAAAAGGAGTGTTTTGATTTTTTTGTACAGATGATTCCATCCTCTCAAACCTCCTATTCCTTTTGCTTGCATCTCAATTTTACACTTTAGATGTTTCAATGCTTCATCCTGTGTTTTCATGCCCTTCAACCAAATCCCCGACCTTTCGTCCCCTTCTCTTCCCTACAGCTCCACCCTACCACAGACATTTCCAGGCGGTAGGTGGGCCTCTTCCATCTGCCCTGTGAAGCGAGCTAACTATAGTCCTCAGAAGAAGCAGGGAAGGCAGTGACTGTTTTGATCAACCTCTTGCTAATTCCATCTGCTTCTGAGACCACAACAAAGGCCACATCTCCCACATCATGTTCTTCTAAGCCTTGTTCTCTCTCATTCATTGAGTGCTTTGAGTTGTACCAGACACTGTGCTAAGCACCTAACATCTTTTGCCTCTACCCTCGAAACACTCTGTGAGAGAGCTTTTGTCTTACAGGTAAGAAAACTAGGAGCTTAAGTGATTTGTTCAAGGTCACACAGCTAACTAATGACAGAGTTGGGTTTCAATTTAAGTATGTTTAACCACTGGCCTACACTGCCTCCTATCCTACTAAAACTTTCTTTGACCTACAGCGCATCTGATCCCCACTGTCTACCCCACTTTCCCACAATAGGCAGAGTTGACTTTCTTCTAACCTGAGCACCTCTCCCTTGAGAAAATGCTCGCTAACTGCTGCCTGCTCTTCAAAATCCAGTTCAGGAGGTGCCTTTGCGAGGAAACCCTCACTGACACTCCCAGAAAGACTTCACAGCTCTCCCCAGGTGCCCACAGCCCCAGCACTATGTATTTTCCATTCCAATTGTTGGTTTAAGTGTACGCCTGTCTCACAATGTGGGCAGCAATGTCTGAGTTTTATTTGTGTATATGTGTACATTCCTACTTCTTAACCAGTGTCTGGTGCTGGAATAGAGCTTACCCTTAATACTTGTTGGTTGAATGAATAGATATATTAATACATAATGTTCACCTTAATGTATGCTAAATTGATCTTCTGTATATAAAGATAATTGAAAATGAATCTTGATGTGAACGGAAGGGGAGAGGGAGCAGGAGAGGAGAGGGCTGCGGGTGGGAGGGAAGTTATGGGGGGGGCCATTATAATCCATAAGCTGTACTTTGGAAATTTATATTCATTAAATAAAAGTTTTTTAAAAAATACATAATGAACACACAGGCATCAGCAAAAGCTACAACAAATGACAACCCACCCTGCTCCTTACTTCTTGTATCCTCAACCATGTCAATGTGACCAGCAACTAACATCACATTAATTCAACCAAGATTTATTGAGCTCTAGAGTGGTGTAACAAAGAGCTGGCATTTTGCATCAGAATATCTTAGGGACAAGGACAGTGCGCACAGATTACTTGTCTGTAAAGGCAGTATAATAATTACCTCTTTATCGCAAAATTACCATGGGATCAAATGGCCAATGGACGTGAGAGTACTTTGGAAACTGCAAAGTGATACACGAATGGTGATGGCTGTTATTTTACCTTTATTACCATGTATAAGGCATCATGTCAGGCCTTCAAGGAGGATTTAAAGATGAGTAATCAACTGCCCATAAGACGCCCAAAATATGATGAAGTACTCAGAGGACTATGAAATAAGGCAAAAAAAAAAAAAAAGAAAACAAAAAAAGAAAAAGAAAAGTTCAAAGACCTTTAGGGGATTCACAGAGGGAAAATCAGGAGTCAGGACAGCCCAATCATCCAGGGCCTTGTGGGACTGATGTGGGGGGCGGGGGTGTTAATGGCAAAATCCTCCTTTTAAAGCCATTTATGGCCACAGTGTTGTGTACGACTGAAATATGTAGTATTTGAACATAGAGAGCTTCTCCAGTTCTTGGTCAGGGAAGGCATTGAAAACCTGGGCTGGAGCTTGAAGAGTGGGTCAGATTCCGGCTGGGGAGGGGAAGAAAGGCGTTCCTCACAGTGGGGAGGATGAGAACAAAGGCAGGATTGAGCTGGAGGGCCTGGAAGACTCTGCAAGGAGAGCAGAGCTCAGGCGTCTGTGTCTGCGGCTCTGTCTCCTCCTCCTGTGACTCCAGGCAAGGCTTCTCAATCATTAGAAGTGCCTGCTAGTTGGATCAATAGTCCATTCAGTACTCTATATTTGGACAGTGCCCTGGGGGATATTTCGAGAGAGTCTCTGGTTGTACTATTTGGATGATTCTTCAGCGATTAGGAAGGTGAAGTATATAATAACCCATTATGGAGCAATCATTCATAAATTTTTATTAACCCTGTCTGCTTCTGTAGGCAAAATCTCAAAAAAGACTATCTTAAAGGAATGTTCTGCAAAACAAAGCCGCTTCCGTGGGCTTTCAGATGGCTTATGGAAAAAAATTATATAAAAAGCAATCCTAAAAAGCCCCACAAAATTATAGAGATAGAAAGCAGATCAGTGGTTGCCTAGAGCTCGGGCTGAGAATGGGAATAAGGGAACATTTTGGGATAAAAGTGTTTGAAATTCCCCTCACAATGGGTGAGTTGTATGATATGAATATTATATCTCAGCAAGCTTTCTTTTTTAAGATTTGTTTCTTTAAAAGTTGGAGTTACAGAAAGAGAGGGAGAAAAAGACAGAGATATCTTCCATCTGCTGGTTCACTCCCCAAATTGCCTCAATGGCTAGAGCTGGGCCAAGCTGAAGCCAGGAGCCAGGAGTTTCACCTGGGTCTCCAATGTGGGTGGCAGGGGCCCAAGCACTTGCATCATCTTCCACTGCCTTCCCAGGTCATCAACAGGGAGCTGGATCAGAAGTGGAGCAGCAGGGACACATCCCACATGGGATGCCAGCATCCTAGATGGTGGCTTTATCCATTATGCCACAATGCTGGTCCCAAGCTGTTGTGTTGTTGTTGTTGTTTTGACAGGCAGAGTTAGACAGTGAGAGAGAGAGAGACAGAGAGAAAGGTCTTCCTTCCGTTGGTTTACTCCCCAAATGGCTGCTACGGCCGGCGCTGCGCTGATCCAAAGCCAGGAGCCAGGTGTTTCCTCCTGGTCTCCCATACGGGTGCAGGGCCCAAGCACTTGGGCCATCCTCCACTGCACTCCCGGGCCACAGCAGAGAGCTGGACTGGAAGAGGAGCAACTGGGACAGAACCAGCGCCCCAACCAGGACTAGAACCCATGGTGCCGGCGCCACAGGCGGAGGATTAGCCTAGTGAACCGCGGCGCCGACCTCACCTAAGGCTTCTAATCATGTCACAAAGGCTTTGCCTTCTCATCCCATCATGTTAAGCATTGAGATTTTAACACCTGAATTTGGGAGGGACAGCAGCATTCAGTCCATAGTACAGCCTGACTACAAAACTGTGCAAAGATCCAGCAACTGGGCGGGGAATGAGCATCAGCAGCTAACGCTCCTTTCCCTCCTTCCTCCAGTGTTCTATTTCTTTGCAGTGCCTGGAGGGTGAGACTCAGTCCTACTGTACCTTTGTATCTGAAAGATACTTGGCCTGATCTGTAGAACTCTGAGTACCCTTTCCAACCGTATTTCACTACTCCCCACCACAAGCCCTCTATTCTAGGTAAACTGGCAGCACAGAGTCCCCAGGTACCCTTCGCATGTTCCAGTCCGTCTCTTCCCTCAGGTCATTCCTCCCTCACCAAATACCCTCTTCTGATCCCAAAGCATTAGTTACACATGCCTAACAACCAAATTCCATAAGGCTTTCCAGCGTTTTGGTCACACAATTAGATAGCATGTCATATTCAAGTTGATGTCATCCTTCAAAGAAATAGTAGTATTCTTTGGAGTAGAAGACTGGCATCCATTTTGGCTCTAGTTTCTTGATGTTTCTTGGTAGTCAAA